TCTTGAAGGCTTGTGCTCAACGAAACGACGAACACTAACCATTTTAAAAGCGGTAGGAAGTTTGATGAGCTGTGAAAATCACCACATTCAAAACGCATCTCCAGCCTTGTTTACTGATGGCAATCCTTTCCAACATGGCCATAAGAGCTATTTCAATCTTTTTTCCCGTTACCAGTTAAAACCGAACTCATTTCGAGTGCTAAAGCAAGTGATCCAGAGCTAACGATGACGACGAAGCCCATAGCATCCATTGACAAAGTACATAATGGAAGAATGCCGGAAAACTTGCACTTTGGGAGGACAGGATCTCTGAGAATCTGTTAAGGCAGAAAAGGAGCAGCAGAAGAATTGCAATGAATCAAAAATTGCAATGATAAGGTCGCACAAAAAATATCGCCTCAGCACAAAGCTGGTTGTCCCCGAACTGCTTAGTAACAGCTTGTGATGTTGTACTGACAATGAGAAATATAATGTTCTCTGCTGAACCGTCTCGACCTTCCGGAGCCCTACTTTCCCTTAAATCATTCGAAAGATATGATTTGAAACCGTCAGAAAAGTACGGCCCCTATTCCACTTCTTGACTCCTATTTAAAGTTGACACCAATCAACAAGTGAGACTTTCGGGAAGCGATCTGGCTGGGATCCGACAATTCGAGAGAAGCGGACAAAAAATTCTTCCTTGTCCACCTAAATACATGTAATAGTTCTGCACAAGTTGCTGAGTTTCATAAGAGCCGGCAAGTTTAGTCGACGGGCCAGCTCCAAAGCTGGGGATAACAAATATGCCGTATGTCACAATTCAAAGACCAGAGATGATAGGTGACATGAGGTAACCACGATCGGTCACTTCTCGCAGTTTCAAAGTTGCATTTAGAAGGGGCAGCTGGCAATTATGGCAGTAGACCACGAGCGAATTTTATGAGGTAGAGTAAGTCACAAGTAAGAAACCTGATGGAAGATCAAAATCCAACGTACTCAAAAGCTGAAAAGATCATAGAATGATGGTGGTAACTCAAGCAAACAGCCTGACGCATAGCAACACACCTACAAACTAATTCCTGAAAAAACAGTTCGACTGCTCTCTTGTGGAATTCCACGATGAGCGATTGACGCCACTGTAAGAGAAATGTTCAGAGAAAAAATTCTGGTAAAAACAGATAGTACAGAAAGATAGGAATGAGTCGTAATATAGGAACAGAAAACGACACCGTGACTAATGATTGGACCCTCTGCACACTCGAAAGCAATAGTCCTTAATGGAGTTCATCCAATAAGCAACATGCACACTGATCGTTTTCAAAAGAAAAATCTAGACTTAATTTGTGGTTCGCCGAGATCATAAGGCGCTTGCTGGTCATTACGGTCTCGATGTGAAATCTCGCTGAGGTAAAATCGGTAGCGGCAACTTCTACTAAAAGTCAAATGAATACAGAAAGCTTTGCCCATTCTTATAGTTGACAGCTATTTAGACCGGGACCGTTCTGTTTTGAAGAATTCCGTAGCTGAATAGCAAATATTTGTCCGTTCATTTACCGTTCTGGGAAGCACGTGGCCCCTCGAAGAGGCAGACGAAGAAGTCGGTTTATTTTCTACCAACACACAGATGCCTTCGACTGCCGATGGTCTTTTTGCGTAGTCAACATTTCTTCCAAACGATTATATAAATAAAGCCGAAGATAAAATATTTGAACAACGATTGGGAAACTACCAAATCAAAAATATTTATAGTTCAAATACATGCTTAGTTTAAGAACACAGCAAATTCGAAAAATGACAATATTTGAACACGCCCCTCCCTTGAAACGATTATGAACACCGAGTTAGAAAAATAAAAACGCCATACAAGCCAACAAGTTTTTTGTCTTGCTTAAAATTAATTTGGTTAGGGTTCGACGTTCGACCCCGGTCATGCAATAGATGAGCCCTGAAAACAAAGTGGAAAAGTATGGTCTTGAACCACGCTGCCTTGGGATGGAATCGAGAACCGCTCAAAGCATTTAAAGTGCTTTCTGCTGAGTTTAAATCATGACTGTTTGGTTTACTTCTTAAGCAGAACTTCAGCACTACTATTAGGGTGTTTGAAAAGTTTTGAGAAAATCCAGCTGTTTTTTCAACACAAAATAACTAGTGCAACAAACTAAGACCAGTAATCAAGATAGTGGCCCTTCCTAGCTACAATGTTTCTCAATTAACCGAACAGGGCATCGATGCCATTTCTCCAATATAAAGAGGGGCGTTACGCAATTCATTCATCTGCTACCTACTCGACTTCTCGACAGTTCGTGAATTTTTTCCCTGTAGAGCAGGCCTATGGGCCTTTGAAGGTATGGCAGTCATATGTGACTCTAGAAAGGCAGTAACGTCAGCGCTCGTGTATCATTACAACACTCAGTGGGCCAACCAGCTATCCAAACTAGTGCTTCTTCCAACGCTTACAAGACTCTGCAGCTTCATTGTCATCATTACTTTGACCTGCTATGACTTTGCAGCCTACGAGGCAAACTTAGATACCATGCGCTCCAGACAGCAATAGCACGCCAGAGTAAGCTTGGTTCAAGTGTGATATCGCTTAAATGTTCATCGATGGGGGTTTCCTCCCACCCTACCTTCAATTAACGGTCAGATCGATTAGATTGCAATACGTCCCATAAAGCCAAAGGTGCTTTGTTTTTGGTACCATATGACTCCCGCTGAGACGCTTGTGATGACCAGGACACATTACAAGCTTCCGCTGCCCTCTAGATTTTTGCAAATCCAAATTGGCTCCGCCCAGCTCCAGAATCTCAAACATGCTACCTATCACGCACATTACATTCGCTAATTTTGCAGTCAAAAATTGACATAACATGGATTACCCCGGTAAAAAGGTGGGGATTGCTCAGGAAATAGGAAAAGTTACCTAAAGCAGTTGAAACTAAAGAGCCGAAATAGAAGTAGTCCAACGATTCATCAAGTTCCACTCCTATGTTATCCAATCATAGAATAAATTTTTAGTTATGTTGATGACCCTAGATTGACCAGGAACACTAGATTTTTGCTTCACCGTGGGAAAATATTCAAAAAAGTAGAATATTGCCAGAATAATGCCACCTCAGAGACACGTCGAAAGTTTAACGGTAACGGTTGGTTCGAGGTTGTTCCCATTCGTACTCCAGGAATGTTGCGCTTTTTGTTTACCATGTGTGCCGCCTTCACGAGCATCACTTCGATACGAAAACCTTTGTGACGTTTCAGAATTTGCAAATGACAGAAGGTGACTTGTTGAATTTTAATTTCCGACTGCTAGTTAAAAGCATCAATGATTGGCTCAAAGGATTGAAGAAGAGTGTTGACCTTTCCGATGGTATAATATACAAGCTGTCTCAAAAGTCCATGCCGATTTTTTATATATTGCTGGAAAATTTTCTATATTGAGCTAGTGGTCAGCTCACTGGGGCAATGTAATCCGTATTGCTGTAATATTGCTGAGATATTGATGACGCCTACCTAAGCTGCGGATATTCTTCAAAAATAGTGGCTGAAAAACTTATCTAGTCACGCCATGCTTATGTGTTTCTAGTGGGCCACAATGCAGTCGAAGCCACCCGCAATATCTGCCTCGCGTTAGGTTCCACTTGGGTGTGGTGCAGTAGGAAAAAAACTGTCGCGTCGCGGCGAGAGGGACGCCGCGCGCGAAAGAAGAAAGAAATGCAGCAGTAAGTAAAAAATACAAGCACAAAGGAACTAATAGTAGAATGCGGCGAATTGTTTACCCAAAATCGTTCCTACTGCTCGTCTCCCGGTTCCACTGTTGTATCCAGTCGCACGAATGCGAAATGGTACAATCGATTCCGCTCAGGCGATCAAGACTTAGACAGTACTCGCTTAGGAAGGTCATCTGCCCTGTGTTTAGAACGGCTATGCTCTCTGAACAAAGTGAAACCTCACCGAAGGAGCCGCTTTCTTTCAATAGCTCGCAACGCTGCAACGATTCAGTAAACGCAAGTCTCGAAGTTCGCCCAGTGGATTTTTCATGAGTTGATCAGTCCTCAGTGGTCAGAAGAGAACGCGGTGAAGTGCTATCTACAACTTCTCTCCCGCTTCAGCCGAACGGGCAGATGAAAGTGGTGCCTCTGTGTGAATTACAAGCGAAGGCGTCAGTGGCTAGATGTAGCTGGATCGGCCGTAATATCATATCTGTTTAGTACGAAATCATGCTGTGTGGTGGGTGCTCACGGAGTACACAACTGGGAGCCATTCCTCCCAACGCCATGCTTATGTACGAATGAGGTCTGCTGTAGTCAGCTACGGATTTTGGCGAAGAAACTCCAGTTGACCACTCGGGACTTGACAAAGTTTAACTGTTTCACGACAATGAGAGACCACGTGTCTCGCCTGCGACACAGCTCGTGATCCTAAGACTTAGCTGGGCCGGTATCAGGTTCGCGAGCTGACGTCGTCGAGACACGTTGTCTCGCATCCTGTAAGGAGGGTGCGGTAGGCTGGCAGATCCTACTGCGCCCTCCACACATAGCCTCGACCTGGTCCCTTCCGTCTGGCACCTATTCTTGCCTCTGTCATCTTACGAGCAAGGAATAGGATTCATCGGAGGATATCAAGAATGACCTCGCTCTCTTTTCAAACTTCAAGTTGAAAACCGCAGGGTTTTTGGATGATAAGCATCCAGTTCCTCCCTGTTCCCTGTTGTTGGCAACAAATTTTTGGTAGTAAGGCTCTTATGTTGCGACGAACTTTTGAGACAACCTAAACAATTTGAGTAAGAAGCTGATTCATTGAAGAAATATTCTCACTTACCACAAAGACAAAGTTTCAAGCACGTTTATTAGTTATTACAATTGTTGAAAAAAGCGTCTACATTCCAGTCCGAAGTAGGTCCTACATGGAATCACAGCTGTACGAGTAATGAGCAAAAAGGTAATCAACAAGAAGAAATGAAACACTTTCGTCGTGACGCTGAGCTTCTGCCTGATTGTTGAAAAGAAAATAGCGGACGAAGGGAGTCATGCCAGCAACCTGCAAAGAAGAACAACAAGGTTTGTTGGAATAAATGAAATGGGGAATGCTTGTTTTTGTGAGCAAATTCCATTCTACAGGCCCTTATGTTCTGAAATTTTATTCAGAGTTGATAGAGATTGTCATTCGATGATGGAAATCTGAGAAACTGGTCAAAGCCTGCCGCTCCAACTTTTTTTTGAAGCGCATCTCCTTCCTTTACGAAATATCGGGGTGGAACTAAAGCCAGGCAGATGTGATTCTATTCTGCAGTTTTTTAGGTGCAAAAGATCCGAACTCTCTCCCTATATTCACGTGGAATAGGACAACTGCTGAACACCGATTCCATACTCACTTCATTGGCGAAATCTGCACGCAGTAAAAATGAATTTGCCTGAGCTACTACTAGGTTGTGTTAAAATGATTTGCGTTTTCTGACGGCTAACTTCAAATGTCCTAACTAACGTACTAATGTCCTAGAATAAATTTTTATCAAAAGAAAGAAGCACCACTAGAGTGGACACATTCCTGCTAACGTTTTACGAGATCATAAATGCCCTTGCGGTAAAAATCTGACTTTCAGAAGAAATACAGTTTTTGAAGGCAGGTTCGGCATGTGCCTGACTCTTGAGTATCCTGTTCTCGATGAAATTGAGATGCTTCAAAATACAGTAAACCGTTGACAAAAGACCCTCTGAAGCTCCGTTGATGAGAAGTCGTGTCTGGCATTATCGTGGGGTACCCACTAATGTTTTTCACCTTACCAAGTTTTCCCCAATACTGGCGACGCGAAAGTGATACTTGAAGTTTTCCAGTTAACACATAAGAAGTATTTTATGGATTTAACTCCACCGACGACTTCAAGCATTCTTTATCAAGTTCAGGGATCCGACCTATTTTTGAAGTATGCGTCCCCAGATCGAACTTTCGGGAACCAGTGTCAAGTACTACAGATTGGAAACACATCATTTGGTCCCGACGCTTCCACAACATTTTCGACAGCCTCCACAGCTTCCCGTATAAGTTTGAACTTGTGATGCAGAATGATACGAATCTGCTTTATCTAGAGCATCTTAGACATTCGGACTCATAGTCCTGAGATATGGAACTTAAAGCAAACGAAATCGAAAAAGGAAGATCATCAGAGAGGTTTGGGTGATGTACAAGAATATACACATTCAACGAATGTACACAAAAAGGTGAAAATTGACGTTTGAAAAACGCCTTTTACTTGCATACAACTATGGCGGCTTTTTCTTGAGTTTCATGTTTCAGTTTGAGCCCATGAACCACGCAAGCCTTCTCATTGACCTGAGGCACACTTAAACATCTTTGCTATCTCTCTGGAGTTGCGCTCTCTGAGTAGAGTCAAAGGCTTGAAGCTGAACAAGGTCTATCAACGAATGCCCAGATAATGGTTATTATTATTTTATTTTCTTTTTATTTTTTTATATTTTTTAAATTTTATTATTATTTATTATTATTTTGAATGAGGTCTGCTTACCGCTCTATAGAATAGCCGGAGATTCTTGTTGACCTCGGAACGGTAGTATTGATCTCAGTCCGCCGCCTCGTTTTCTGGGACGACTGAGATTCGGCACCAGGTAAATTCGCAGCGTCTCCCATCGCAGGACGAGGACAGGATTCATAAGAGAACTCAACTGCAGTCCACTCTTCGGTAGTAGTGCTTGTGCTGCATTCTGAAGCGCTTTCGTTAAAATCCAAAGCACTTAGTGGTGCTGTCAATAGGCCAACCGAATACGAACGCGGATACATGGAACCGGTACGGCGATATCTGTAATTGTAACAAATGAGATACGTGGAAAAGCATAAACTTCTACTAAATCAATGTATGCGTCGAAGTCCCAAAATTCTAGTCCTTCATGCTTCTTTTCCGTATATCATTCACTGTGAAATCGTTTTCACTGAAGGACATCTACAGGGCTACAATACCCACTCCAAATGTTCAAAAAAAAAAACACGAAAAAAACGCAATTTCGCGTTTTTTTTCGTTTTTTCTCTGTAACTAGGTTGATATACAATTTTTCTACATAGTGTGATATATGGTTGGACTCAACTCCTCGAGCTCTATGACACAGTTTATCTAAAATTTTTGAAAGTTCGATTTTGAAGTCCCCCATCCATCAAAGGTCCTGATGGTACGTCATTAGCAGCGACGCCTGCTATAATTATAACCAGAGGACATTCTCTACTATTAGAAGTAGTCTGTGAAACGCGGTGTAGCTAATATTTTCCGACTTTGGGTGAAAATAAGACCATGGCATTTCTCAGATCGTCCTGATCACTTCGATGCCACGTTTCTCCAAAATGGATGAATTTGGCCATGGGCCAAATTCAAATGACATGCTTTTCAAAATGAGGAATAACCAACATGAGTTGATTTCTGTTTTCAGAAAATAGTGTGCCTATTCTCGAGAAAAATAACTTCCCCATAACTTGAAAACTAGTGTCCTGGGTCAAGAAGAAAAGGCCATATAATCGCTTAAAACACGGTACTCGCCATGTTTTTACAAAGGATATAGGTTTACTTGCTTTTTCAAGTAAAATTTCCGATGATCAGGGAGTAGCTACGCACTGTTTCGGAAGTATTCATACTAAACTCTTTGTGGATGATCACTGACTGTTAAAAATAGAGACTTATCTAGACCCTCGGACTATATATAGGCTCCCGATATCGCCCCGAAGCACAGTAGGCAAAATTTTGATTTTTGCATTCAAAGTGAACATCCGAAAACCTACATACTTGAATCCATTTTTAAGAAGCTACTCAGTCATATGGAAATCGATCCACGAAGTTCACTTCGAGTTTGAAGCTTTAGCACCGCTTTTCTACCCTTCCCATTCTCTCGGCCACCCTATTGGCTCTCCAGCTCAGCTAGCC